ACCGTAAACATCGAACCCATTTCTTTTACGTTCGTGATTTTTAAATGTTTTACATGCATACGTTTCACTGCAATCACTTCCCTTCCTAATGTTGCGCAACTCACGACTCGTTTCCCATAATTTTAATCACTTCTTTCATTTATCCGCACTCCGATATTCCAACTCCTCCGCCTCCTCCTTCACCCATCATCCATCGTCGGTAATGGTATTTTGCAAGTAACGCAAAACCAAAGGTCGCAGGTCGCGCCGAACAACAACACACATAGGTAACCGTTGTGCAATTTGCTTTGGGGCTATGTCGTTGCGGCGAGCCTTGGATACTCAGCACGGGCTTTAATTGAATTTTCTCCTGGATCTATTCCTGCTTAATACCAAGGTCCCTTCATGAGAATCCACGCCCACGATCTTTGCAATCTATCCTTTATACAAATGCTAACAAGAATCCATAAACAATCTGCACCGACGCCAATTGGTATGCAATTAGAAGCAAAAAAGCAGAACTTTCAACGGTCGCAGCTAAAACAAGAAGAAGAAGAAGAAATAAGACACTTTTGTAGGTAAATAGTGGTTGCGGAGGGGAAAACACAACAACCTGAAATACCATGAGGATATGGGCGATTGTAAGGTCGTTTAGGACCGCACCCAGATCCGATGCCCCGACCTCGCGCGAAACATTCTAGCAAACAAAGACAGTCACGAAATGGGCCGCTCCACAAGCATATTTTAATTTCACTTCACCATCGATCAACTCTAATTCAATGAATGCTGGTATCTCTATCGCTTTGATCGACTGGACTTTCAAAAGTGGTGCGCCTTTCACCGCCTTCTGATTCTTCCTTCTAGCAATAACAAATAAAGACGCAAAAGCGTTTGATTTACGTAAAAGGGTTCCTCCATAATCCTTGGGCGAAGACCACGTGGGCGTGTATCGCCGATGCACATGAGATGCATATCTGTTTAAAGGATGGCCAATAACGTTTGATTTATATACGAACGCATTACATAAATATTCTTGGTACCGCGAGAGGGTGTGTTTTGCCACCAGCCACCCACATTCCGTGGCCAATTTTAATTGAAATTAAGCGGACGCCGTCACGGTCAAACGTCTCTCCTTCCCCTCTTCATCTTCCTCATATTTTTTTTTCTCCTCCTCGCGAAATCAACAGAACTTCAAGGATATGGACACCGCGGGCATGCATTTCCACGCATTATCCTTTTCAGCCCGTTACGAATGAATCAATGGTGATTGTTGTTCACTCCCTGCCGCTCGAATGTTAATGTTAAATATCAAGGACTCCTCCAACAATTAATCCAGTTATAATCCAAACATCCCGTGAAGTCGAGCAAATGCAATTTGGACCGTTTGCGCAATGCACATGCAAAAGCGTTTTGCGCAACGGATTTGAAACTAACCACCCTGTTTCGCTGCTCCAGCCTTGATCCGGCGGCTTAGAATCCGCAAGGATAATTGCACATCGTCTTCGAATACTGCATAGCATATACGGACGGCCACGGTCTTGATCTGAATAGCTGCAGACAAAACGCGATGCTAGTGAGATGACCAATGCCAATTTACTTCAATCATTTCACTTTCGCTCTCCCTTTACCCTTTCTAAAATCGAAGCCGGATATACATCTTCCGCAATCGAAGAAGAAGAACAACAAAACCAAAAGAAAAAAATAAGGAGTGAACGACAAAAAAAAAATAATAATCAGCGAGCCTCCGGCGCTTACATAACTATAGTCTGGAAAACCGAAGCCTCAACTGAGTCATCCGGGGGCTTTAGAAATCGCTTTATATTCAAATTTTGACATTAAGACTGCCGGCGCCAATTACGAACTTCCTATTAGAAATTTTTGCGGATGAGCCAACAAAAAAAAGATCTAACAAATTTGAGTGAAGTGTAACAGAATTACGAGACGAGTCAAGAAACAAGTTTGTTACAAAACCAACAATTTCTATTGATTATAAAAAAATACAACATCATAGTACAAGTGAACAAAACGAAACCTGTTTGGTTATATTTATCTTTTTCTATTAAGAATTATAATTACTCTTGAAAGTTGCAATTGTTTTTAAATTTTTTTCATATTTCGCTGCTGGTTTTTTTTTTATTACTATACAAGAACAATAAGAAATTTAATTTCCTAGTCGTGACCATTTATTTTTATTTGGTAACACCTTCCAAATATTTGAAGGACATTGCCTTGCCACTTCGTCAAATTGCTATCATTAAAACAAACATTCCAACATGTCTATCATTTGAATTATCATCAGTGTTCAATAATGAAAGTCTTATGTTTAAAGCACATTTTTTTCTGTACATCTGGAAACGTCGATTATAGAAGAAAAACAATATATAAAATAATGAGTCACGCTTCATTGTACTTTTAAAGAAAATTGAATGACATCTGTTTGATTTCATTTATGGTTAAGTCTTTGCACGCACTCTGGGATTATGAGATCCGTTTGTAGGTTGGAGCAATCTGCATTTACCAAGTATGAAAACAACGTCGTCTTATTTATATGCGAACGGAATGTGAAATGACAAATGGTATGATAAAACAAAAGCAATTTATATAACGAATCATCATTGCTGCAACCATGTTAGAACATGCAATGCACATAAAAAAATCTCCTTTTACCTCACTAACTAATTGGACAAAAAATAGATCTATTTGAGCATTAAGTAATGACTTTCTGCGATCAGAATGTGTGAAGACAATAAAAAACAAATCTACAGCAATTTTGACGAATCATCATGTTTTGTCCACATTAGAGTGAAATTCCGTTTACCTTATTATCGTTAGGAATTCCAACGAACTGTAGTGCTTTTAAATCAAATAAATTAATTTACAAAAAAAAATATTATTCGAAACTAGTTTTTTTTTGTTTGTTTTCTTTCTTAGAAATAAATTGATTTCTAAAGTACTGTTACCCAATTTAATTATGAATAATTAATGACATCGAATCACAAGTGTCTAAATCCGAGGATTACAACAGTTTTTTTTTAAAACTGTGGATTAAAGACATATCAAAAATATCGATTTTGATCATTTACATGAATCAAATATTACACGGTTTTGAAATTTAGTTATAAAAACTTGTCTTTTCGATAAATAACGTTGATCTTGAACTAAAAACATTTCTTTGGATTAAGTTATTGGGACATATTTGAGATATACAATGTGAATTGCGTTTTGCAATAGAAAATACAAATATGAATGTTGTGATTATAAATAATATTAAATGTATTCGTTGAATCCCACGTAGTGACCTTACAATGCAGGATGAGCATCGTCCATAAAAAAAAATGACAAGCTATGAAATGAGAAGAAATAATAACATAATCATGCACCATGACCTTAAATGTTTAATAACTCGGTGATATTCACGCAGCATCTGGGAAAGCGCTTGAGAGATTTGACATTTTTATTAAGGATGCAATTATTACATAACTATAGAAATATGTCGGTAAACAGAAACTTCTTTCATGACAACTTATATTTTTCAAACAACTTTTTTATTTGAATTAAATGAAAGAAAAATCAATAAATTTCTTTGATTAGAAGAAAGTTAGCTTTCGAATTGAAATGAAATTGTTGAGTTTTATGCAAAAGAAAAACAGAACAATAGAGAAACAAAAAGCTTGTTACGTTTACAGATTTCACAAAATAAAGTATTGCAAAAATCTGGAGTTTTGTAAATTCCTTCTGACGAATGTTATGAAACGGTCACCCTACCTGCTTCTGATGGCTATTTACTTCATACGCAATAAATGTTTTTCTTTTGCGAATTGACTGTTATCTGGTAAACAACTAGAAAGCAATTTTCTGCTTCATTTTATGTGCTGAATAAAACCGAACAGATTTGACATTTATTTCCTATTGGGAAACTGGGTGGGATTTGTCGGTTTTATTATTTCCAATGTGTGGGATATGCAAATGTGTTGCGTTTATGGAGAAGCAATAATAATACTAAAAGAAAGAGAGAAACAAACATCATAGTGTGAGCGTTTGAATCGAAGAGATGAATCGATAAAACAGAGAGAAACGACAAAACCTCCTAGACAAAAGCGGGGAGATTCATAATAGAAACGTCCGACGAAATAACCCGTTTTGTATTTGTTGTTTCATTTGTTATTGACCTTTTAACCAATTAAAGAGATTTTTGACCTCTTATGATCCGCCACCGGTTAACCTCGCGAAATCAATCCAGATTAGAATTGCCAAAATAAAAGGAATCGAATGAAAGGAAAAGATTGAGCGCTGTTGGAAATGAAAAAAGAACAGAAGGAATTTTGCGCTCAGCGAAAAGTGAAAACTTATTATTATATTACTTATCATCGTAGCAACACCTATTTACGTTAATTGCGAGTAATTCTTCGTTGTTTTTTTTTACATCCATTCTTCTCCCGGGTTCTTCTGCGATTGTTGCGCTTTTCACTTTCTTCGAGATCCAATAAAATCTGGAAATATTGTCGTGTCTCATTACGCGCCAATCTACATAGACTTTCTCTGACCAAAGAAATAGCTCAAATGTCGTTTGCGTTGCGTATATAAGGTGCAACGAACTGCTGGTATCCAACCACCTAGGATGATCACTACGGAGGATCCTGAGTTAGAATTATCGCGTCCCACTAACCTTTATTTGCATACGAAACGATTTATTGCGCTCGAATCCATTGTAAGAGCGCATTTCGAATGGAGTCACAATTGAAAATCAGTAATTAACCGAACGCATTGTTGCGCAATCCATGGGATATTAATCCTGTGTGAAACGTCCCAGATTTGTTTTCTAATATTTCGATTGCTTAAATATATTTAGTTTTAAGATCTTCTTTAGTCTTCCTCTCCAAGTTCTTGTTCTTATCCGACATTGTGTTCGTGGTCCACCTGCAACAAACTAGGGCGATACGGTCACTTGCGTAACTGATTCGCTCCACGAAATTCACTTTCAATGCCTCCGTTCTTTATTTGTTCTTTTCTTCATCTTCCAGGAACTGGTTTCGGTCAGAGGAAGATCAGCAGGTCTCAGCCAGTTACCACCGAGGTCAAAACCGGCGTAAACTTTGACTGTCCTGAAGACTTTGGCTACTATCCTCACCCCACTGATTGCACCCAGTACTATGTTTGCGTTTTCGGAGGAGCCTTGCTCGAATCTTGCACTGGAGGTTTGATGTACAGGTAAGTCAACTATTAGAAAGAGTTTATTTGCATTGCGTTTATAATATGTATAAAAACGATTGCAGTCATGAACTGCAAACCTGCGATTGGCCTCGCAACGTCGGCTGCGATGCTGTCGGAGAGATTACTGTAACAGCCACAGCATCTCCAAGCACCTCAGGTCGTTCCTCGGAAGTCACCAGGTCCAGGTATACTCCACCTCCACCTCCGCCACAGCCAGCTGCCGTTGTAACCTCGAGGGGACAACCTAGGCAATACCACCACCAGGAAATCATCAAAGTAATACAATTAACGCTTTTTTAATATCTACTAGTTTATTGACTTCTATGATTGCTACAGCAACAACAGCAACTGTACGAAGATGCTGATGAAGTTCTGCCGCCTGCAGAGGAAATCGAAAGCGATCGCCAACAAAGAGTCTACCGCGGACAGCCATCCACTGTTGGTCAAGTACAAAGAGACCGAGATGGTTTGAGGCATACCAATGCTATTCCAGTAAGTTCAACAAACTCGGAATAAACAATCAAAATAAATAATCTCTTGACTTCGTAGAGCTACAGTAGCAGAGGAGATAAGATCGGTGTCATCTCATTCGGTACACAACAGCAATCGCAGCCAATCCAACAGTACAGGTAAGACATCCAACTCCGTCCATCAAACGCAATCACTCAATCACCAAAAACAGAAACAACAACCAATAGACGCATTTGCTTTAATCACTTTTCATCTTAGCAAAGTGACTGACGACCACGACGCATTACAAATAACAAATGACTTGACTTTGAAGAGAAGACGCAAAAGACAGGTGCAAAGAAGGTAAATACTAGCACAAATAAACCGAACTCAAATACCCGACAGCATTTGAACATGAGTGCTTTTTAGTCGCTATCCCGGAATTGACGTGAATCCGTGGCACGGCAGTATACAAAAATTTCAAACGTTCTCCCCAAATCCAAAGCCTCCTCCTATAGTCAACCTCCAACCTCCACCATACCTGAATCTCCAAAGCGATTTCGTACCTGTAAACTATCAGCACAGAACCCACAACTATTACAATAACAAGCAAACCGAAAGGTACCAAACTAAATTCCTAACACCCACGCATCATTACTTCAAAGAGGAAGAGTTCAAGCCAATCAAGGCTCCCTTCCAGAGACCCAAAATCACGGAAGCCGTGACAAAAGGTTACAAACCTAACCGTGTACCAAATAAAACTGAAATCAAGTTCCCACCGATAACCAGTTTCCAACAGAATAACTTTGAGCACTATGTTAACAAAAGCTTCCTCACGACCCCAAAACCTTTACGTACCACCACCCTAAGTGAAGACTATTACTACTATGACGATGACGAGGACCCTAAGGAACATTATTCTAGTCAATTGAAGCCATCGAAAGACCAAAATCATTCTGTGCCAATTAACGATGACGAGGAATACTACTATGAGGAGTATGACTATCCAGAAACGGTGAAACCGACCCAGTTCGGCGACACTATCAAGCATTCAGCTAAATACAACGAGAAAACCTTTAACATGAGCACGACTCGATCACCACTAACCCAAAGCAAAAACACTGTGATTTATAAACTAAATACCCTTACCACTCCTACAACGACGACCCCAAAAACCGTGTATACTATACGACAAAGAGTCAGGACGATGACGACAACGACCACAAGCAGATCAACCACAAAACGACAAAGACTGACGGTTAATGACCAAGACTCCAGACGTGACAAAGTTAACGGCAGGTAATACATTATTATTATAATACTTACTATTATCTACACGAATCCAAGTAAATTGGCTCGAGCTCTAACCAAAGAAAGAGCAAGGCAATGGTAAATTACTTACTTACCATGCGCGGTAATGTCAAAAGGTCAGAGATCAGTTATTCGCAATTTCTGTGCAACGGTAGGTCGATGTTTCGTAACGGCTGTAAGAGTAACGAATTTTCGATTGATCTAGGGTGGAAGTAACCAGCGTAGGTCCTTCGCAGCAGCCATCTATAGCTACAGCAACAACAAGGGCCCTGTACAACGGAAGCCAGCATTACGACCCAGCTCATTACGATCCCTACTACAGCTTGTACGAGGACGACGTTGAACTTTACAGGGACGTCGGTATGTAGCATAGCATCATTTGATCTTGTACGAAATCTCAACTCTAACTAAATTTTCAGATTATAGCCAACACTACAATAATAATAACAATAACAACAATCATAACCACGGCCATCAGAGTTTCCGTGGAACTCCAGCGCCGGCAGCACAACCGTCCCCGACTCCGGAAGAACCGAAGCGAGGCAACGCTGCTTACATCAACTCTTACACAACGCAAGATGTTTATCAGCAGCCTTCGGTGCCAGATTACAACGAGGATAACAGCTACAATAGCCAGGTACGTATTTAATGGTATTTGCAATTTGTTCAGAACTAATCCTTTGATCTCTTCGAACAGGTCGATGAACAGACCAGCTACAGGCAATCAAGCCGTCAACCAACCAGGTGAGATATTCGCATTTTATTAAGTTAAGTTTCAATTTAAGAGCGTTTACCACTTTAGGGGAGACAGGAACGAGTTGAATTATATTGAGGAATTACCTACTACCAAACGAACTACTACAACTACAACCACTACCACAACCACCACAACAACGACTCCGCGCACTATCCCTACTCAAAAGAGTACATTACCACCAAGGTACTACAAAAATTTCACCAAATTGGCATTATCAAAATCATGTGAAACGAAAAAAAAAGATCAGCAGTTGAACTACGTACCTAACTTCTTTATTTTGTGGCATCTAAATTTTTTTTTATCGCTTAGCTAAAACCAAGAACTCATTACCTTTTTTTGTAGTATCTTTTTATGATATGACGTTTTGTTTTGCTTGAATTAATATCCCTATGATTGGAATGCGCCGTCAGATAAACTTTCATTTACTAACTTCTATATTAGTGTTTACCTTCTTTTAGTAAATGTCTGTGTATCTGATGAAATCTAATACGCTCTTAATATGATTATATAAATATTTATTTGATATGTTCCAATTGATGGATCGATGAATTGGCGTCAGGCTGCAAGGATACGTGTAGGCTTGTACGCCAAGAAGCATATTTATGTGTGATTTGTCAAGGTCCTGTCATTACAATAGGTGTCGTTTATTTTAACAGATCGCCTGTCACATCCAAAGCGAATCAAACACGAGCACAGTCATTACCTAATACATTACCGGAAAACCCGGGACACACTCTATCCTCGTCCACTCCTAAAAGTCTAACCCGCAGACAAGACGCATCGCCGAGCAATAGTCCTTTCACTTACAGACCAAAACTCCAACAAGACACAAACACTGATTACAGTCTACATTCGCCGGTCGTGAACAAACCAGCCCCATTCACTTTGCCAACGACCAAAAGCCCTAAGGGCTATCACTTCATCACGAAAGCGTCCAAGTCAACTCCCGTCTCGACGGCGATCCCCACAACTCAGAAAACAGAACAAACGAAACGCAAACCAAATTACGTACGCAGCACCACCGAATTCACAACCACAACTCACAGGCTAATTGTACCAACCACATATGCTCCTCCCAAATTCTTTTTGAAATCTATACTCCCAAAACCGATCACCACAAGCACATACTTGAGCTCACCTCTGAATTCTAATACGACAACAGACAAATCATTAACTAACAGCCGAACCGAGGCGAAGGGAATCAAAGCCATACGAAAATTTATAAACCCAATTGCAATTAATAACGTTTTCGCCAGTAGCACTGAGTTGTATCCTATAAGTGAGGAGGCTAGTTCCCAAGAGAAAATAACTACCGAATTTGTTGATAGGGGCAAAGTTAAATTTCCCGCACAATCAAAGCAAGAGAAAAAAGAAAGCACAACCCACAGAACTACAACCACCACCGCCGGCACCACCACCAGCACTGCTAAACCAACCACTACGACAACCACCGCAAGAACGACGACAACGAAAACTACCACAACGACAACAACTACAACTACGACAGAACGTCCAGTTAGTAGCACTCTAATCGAAGCACAGTCCACTGAAAAGTTCAAGCACTTTGTCGAGCCTAGCTCGTACCAGAGGTTCAGGAACACGGTAGAGGTGCCACATCCGCATCAGCTCTTGGTAGACCCAGAAGACGTAGCAAAACCAGAACCAGACCAACCTCCAACGTTCAAACCGAAACCACCGACAATTCCAAAATTGACCAGCGACGCAATAACAAAGACAACAGCCGACTCTGTCCCCCGTAACACCTCTCTTCCTGCACGAGTTTCCCGGGTAAACGCTGCAATAAAATCAATTATCGGATTCGGGGGAACGCGCAGGCAAAATCCCAAATGTAACGAGAACCAAACAACAAACGTAAAATGCAACGATCTTAAGCAGAGGTATTTATTCCTCCCTGTCCACAGAATAATAATGTTGCGAATCAAAACAAACAAGCAAACCAAAAAAAAATCAGCAAAAAAAACAACAACAACAACCCAAAATGCCCAAGTAAAACTGCATGTGCACACCTGTTCTGTAAATTTGCACCAATTATTTATTATTATTATTATTATTGTTGCTCTCTTTTAACTATCATACCCCAAAATGATTCGGGAATTTAGTACACGCTTCTCGTCAACCCCCATACAATTATCTATTGAAATTCAATCACACCACACCGACGTACGTAAATCCCTAGCAACTCCCTATGAGACTGGAAGTTGACTGGACCTTCAACTACCCCAAACATCCAGAAACATAATTATATAATATACTACGCACACTTAACACGCCACTAGCAAATAGTCACGTAATCAAATCAATGAATTTTGTAGACAATCTTGGACCTGGTATCATTAATATTAATAATGCGTTTTTTTTTTATTATTATTTCGATTTTTATTTTTGGATCAGCATCGACTAAACAATTTTAGAACATTTAGATGATGGTTTTTATTTATTGCATGTCTTGGATTTCTCTTGGTGGATGTTGCTAACTCCTATTTTTTTTTTCTATCTTCTTATTATTTATAAACGAAAGGATCGTGGACGTAGTTAACTTTGAAATCATTACAGAACCAGCAACCGCGGTCGCGGCTCTGCACACTACTCTAGCAGCAATGCTGGCTCTTCCTCGAGCTCCAGCTCTAGCACAGGAGAAACTGTCAACCGTGGTACTCCACCAACGTGAGTTTAAAAGACAATTTGACAATTGTATTTATTATATATATTGATACCTTTTGCAGTCGTTCTCGTCCAACTTTGAAACCTTCTACTTCGATCGTTTCCAAGGCTGTTGAATTCGTAGACATTTATAGATTCCCTCCAAGGAGACCAGAAACCATTTATCCTCAACCACAGCCCGACAAGACGGCTGCTAAGTGCCGCAAGGATGTGTGCTTGTTGCCTGATTGCAGCTGCGGTGGCAAGGAAATTCCAGGTATACTTCAATATCTAATTCACAAGTAGATAGTAGCCATTTACAGAATTCAGTTTTAATCGTACCGAAATAAAAAGAGTAAATTGAAAAGAAGAAACTTCGAGGTCTTCGTTTTCGCGCAAATGGATCCGGTTGTGTAAAACTTATGTTCTTTTATTTAATGACCAGGGGATTTACCAGTTGAGGAGGTGCCGCAGATCATATTGCTCACGTTCGACGATGCTGTGAATGACTTAAACAAACTTTATTACATTGATTTGTTCGAGAATGGGCGCACGAATCCGAACGGATGCCCAATTTCAGCCACATTCTACGTATCCCATGAGTGGACTGATTATAGCCAAGTCCAAAATCTGTACGCTGATGGCCACGAAATGGCTTCTCACACCGTATCGTAAGTGGCCCAAACTGTGTGGAGAGGCCTGGTTATACTTTCTTGTTTGCTAGAGTGCGCTATTCCAGACTCATGATTTTTATTATATTTATTGTCTCTTTGTTGTGTTCAAACACGAATTTTGCTACATGAATTCTCTAACTAGTTTCCTCTCTGCCTACTAACTATTTAGGTGAAATGTCAGTCGAACAACTACCCCAGATCGTCCTTCTTACCTTCGACGACTCCGTCAATGATCTCAACAAAGGCTTATACAGTGATCTATTTGAGAAAGGACGTGTTAATCCGAATGGGTGCCCACTTTCTGCAACATTCTATGTGTCCCACGAATGGACTGACTACAGTCAAGTCCAAAACTTATACTCTGACGGGCACGAGATGGCCTCGCATACCGTGTCGTAAGTTCGCAAATGCGAAAGTCACGCAACAACAATGAATAAAAAATGCACAGCACTGTACAGAAATATGCACCCAAGTAGACTACGCACCACATAATAAAATATCAACACCACAACTATAAATGATCTGCTTTGCAAACGAATGGTCTAACACAGCTTTGTATCTGTTTTGGTTTTATTTTGGAGCGAACTAACATTGCTTGCCGCTAACTTTCACTGAAATACAAACAGTTTATTAATCTCTGATATCTACAGTCACAGCTTCGGTGAACAATTCTCGCAAAAGAAATGGACTCGTGAGATTGCTGGCCAGAGAGAGATCCTTTCCGCCTATGGAGGTGTCAAATTGGAAGACGTTAGAGGCATGAGAGCTCCATTCTTATCTGTACGTATATTGCAATTACCGGAAGTTATCAAAGGTAAATATTTTTTATTATTCCATTTCAGGTCGGTGGAAACAAGATGTTCAAAATGTTGTACGACTCCAACTTCACTTACGATTCTTCCATGCCCATTTACGAAAACAAACCGCCAAGCTGGCCGTACACTCTTGATTATAAGCTCTTCCACGACTGCATGATTCCACCTTGCCCCACTCGTTCTTACCCAGGTGTCTGGGAAGTTCCTATGGTCATGTGGCAGGATTTGAATGGAGGACGTTGTTCCATGGGAGATGCCTGCAGCAACCCGGCTGATTCCGATGGTGTATTTAAAATGATCATGAAGAACTTCGACAGGCATTACACAACCAACAGGTTATTATTAAATTAAATTCACTATAAGAAATTTTACTTTACCAAAAAATATCTTTAGGGCTCCATTCGGTCTGTTCTACCACGCCGCCTGGTTCACTCAACCTCACCACAAGGAAGGATTCATCAAGTTCATGGATACCGTCAACAAAATGAAGGATGTCTTCTTCGTTACTAACTGGCAAGCTATACAATGGGTCCGCGATCCGACCCCGATGTCCAGAATCAACCAATTCCAACCCTTCCAATGCAATTACTCCGTAAGTACAACACTCTTACTAAAATTTAAAAAAAAAATATATTTCACTTTGTGTACTCCCATTTCAGGACCGACCAAAGAGATGTAACAACCCGAAGGTCTGCAATTTGTGGCACAAATCTGGTGTCAGATACATGCGTACTTGCCAACCGTGCCCAGACATCTACCCATGGACTGGAAACAGCGGCATCCGCAGTAGCCGAATCGACAACGACATTGAAGATTAAATTTCAAAATTCGAAAAGCAATCAGAACAAAAGAGAAACATCAAAATCATTTCGGAAATTCTTTAAATTATTATTATTTTCTTCTTCACACTCTTCACATTAATATTGTTTTACCTTGTTTCTTCTCTTTTCTCTACTTTCTCTTCTTGCGGTGATAGGCATTGATTTTTGCAATGCCAAAACATTGAAGCCTTTAATCGGATCAATTTAATTTATAAATGAAGTTGCCAGATGTTACTAAGGTGTCTTATGCTTACATACCTCAGTAACATCACTTAAGGTTAGTTCGCATTTGTATATAAGATTCAAATGAAAATACATTCAGAAAAAAAAATAATAACGAAAATGAAATGTAAACAAACAAAAACGTTATATAAATACATGTATTGTAAAAGGAATGCAATCGAAACAGAAATTCTAATTAGTTTTAAGCTGCCGAAAAAAAAGTAAATAAATATATATTTTGTATTATTATTATTATTGTGGCTGTTTTGTATGGGCGGTCAGCAATCTATTATTATTATTATTATAATTATTATTATTCAATTTATTACCTAATTTATTGCGTGCTTTCAACTGTTAGAACCAGTGAGTGATAAGTTAGCAAATAAACTGATTAGATTTAAATTATTAATCGCTAAGTTCGTCCTGTTTCGAAGAAATATTATATATATATTATATTGTTTATGTTTATTTATCCTCACTTGTATCGAAAAAGAAAATGAAAATTGATTAATTTTACTGTTCGATTAATTTTTCGTTCATTGTTGGTTGGAAATTGTATATTTATATATATTCGGAAACAAATATAATTTTTTTATTCGAGAAAACAACAAAATAAAAGATTTACGTATTTCGTTTGTTATTAATTTGTGGCCTTAAAAATTGATTGGTAGGGAGAGTTGTGCACCTGGTGGTTGATTAATTTTTAAAATCAATCAATCGAAGCGTCTATATAAAGAACGCTGACCGCTGCAGGTGAGCTCTGATCATTATGAAACTGTGGTTACTCATTTCACTGAGTTTGTTTCTCCACGGCGAAGGTGCTCTGCAGAAAGAACACGAGAAACCTCAAGCTGTTAAGTGGATGGACTCGTTCTTCGGCCGCAGAAAGGAGTACGATCAAAGTACGTCCTTGGTGAATCTGATGAAGGAAGTCACCAGGCAGTTCCTGGTAGGTTGCACACCAATAATCCTGTACGACTCTTTTCTCGAAAAGAGCGACACTCTGCTTCTCGAGAAGCTGTTCACGGACTTTCCCATACCTTACATCCATGGCCAAATAACTCGCAATTATTCCATCAATTTGAAGAAGATAGTCAAGGATACAGAAAACACCTGCGTCTCGTATATACTATTCCTGGCCGACGTGATGCGATGCCGCGACGTTATAGGCGAGCAGAACACTAACCGAGTCGTTATAGTAGCCAGGTCATCACAGTGGCGAGTTTACGAGTTCCTAGGCAGCGAAACAGCTCGAGATTTCGTAAACCTTCTAGTCATCGCTCAGAGCGAGAAGATCTTACCCATAGACCAAGTAATTTGACTACTCATCCGAAAGTCCATTAACTAATTAATTACCTCCTTAAGGAACGTCCGTACATTTTGTACACGCACCGACTGTATGTGGACGGAATCGGCTCCAGCGCTCCCATGGTATTATCCTCCTGGATGCGTAACGCTTTCACCAAAGCTGACGTGAACCTCTTCCCCACGAAAATCCAAAACGGTTTCTCCGGACACCGTTTCATAATATCCTTGGCCTCTCAACCTCCCTTCACAATAAAAAGGTAATAGATATAAGAAAACGTCTCCCTGTAATCGAAGTAATTACGTTTTATAGAGGCCGCGATGAGAATGACGATATCCAGTGGGACGGAATTGAAGTTAGATTAGTCGGTTTATTAGCCGAGACGTACAATTTTACTACGGACTTCCGTGAAGCGAAGGACGTTAACATTTTAGGGTACGTTGGCACGATCTTTAATTCCTGGTTAATTTTCATTGGATTTCCAGTTCGGGTAAGGCTGTATCCAGAGAGATAGCTTCGAGGAAGGCAAACCTGGGTTTAGGTGGTATCTACGTAACCTCTGATCTCGTTAACTTGGTAGATTTATCACATGCACATTCCCAAGATTGCGCATCGTTTGTCACCCTCAGCTCTACAGCGCTGCCACGGTAAGTATCTTAGCTTATTATAATAAAATTTAAGTTGTAGCTTAATTTTGTAGCTACCGCGCCATCATGGGACCCTTCCATTGGACGGTATGGTTAGCAGTGACTTTAATCTACATATTCGCAATATTCCCTTTAGCCCTATCTGACAAGTTGAGTCTTAAATACCTCATTCAGAAACCGGAAGAAATGGAGAACATGTTCTGGTATGTCTTCGGCACATTCACCAACTGCTTTACCTTCGGCGGAGAAGCATCCTGGAGCAAATCCGACAAGGTCACTACGAGAATCCTAGTTGGTTTCTACTGGATCTTCACTATTATAACAACCGCCTGCTACACTGGATCTATTATAGCCTTTGTCACCTTACCGATTTATCCAGAAACAGTAGACACAACAAAGCAATTGATCGAAGGCCATTTTCAGATAGGCACTCTTGGTTATTACAAACAAAACACCAAATTCTCACTCTAAACCTTTTGCTATTATTTTTGTAGATAAAGGAGGCTGGCAGAATATGCTAGTCAACTCCACGGATAAATACACCAAGAAGATATTCAAGAACATGGAGTTTTTACCCAATGTTGAATCTGGTTTCAAAAACATAACGAAAGCTTTCTTTTGGCCATACGCGTTTTTAGGTTCTGAAAGTGAATTGAATTACATAGTTCGCAACAACTTTTCCTCCGTGTAAGACTTTAACTTAATACGCTTTCATTTGCACACGCTACATTTTTGTAACTTAACAATTGTGCAGCCAACTGATATCAATATCCAATCATATTCCACGTTCTTATATAAGAGATATGATTGGATATTAATAAATTGTTTTGTTCTTTAATGACAAATAGAATAATTTCTAGCGAAATGGGCGTTTATATCACAGCTTGTCACGCCTCTTACCGCATACACGACAAATTGCTGCATTCGATAGAGCGTGTAATATGATCTTTTGTTTTGGTAACGTTGACGACATGTAAGTGTGCGCGCACTTGTAATTTTAATTACACTCTGTTGAGTAGTTCATACTCGATTGCGAACACTTGTAACATTTAATTGCACAACTATTTAGATGATCGCTGTAAGTAGTTAGTAAGTATGATCGTGGGCAACTTTTAATAGAGTAACTATTAGCAGCTGTTCCATGTCGCATCTGTAAGTTTTAATTACACGACTGTCCCAATTCCTGTTCACGCAAATATGTATAATAATGCTCATACGTATACAGAATTGTCAAGTCAATTTATTTAATAATATATTTCCGCAGCAATGCAAACTGGAATTTCTCAAACTAAATAAGCAATAAATCACAGTTAATATTTGAAAAATCACGAAAATATTATTTTAAGTAAATTGAACTTTTATATTCCTTTTATATAACAAAACTGAAATTTATCTAATTTCTTATTAATAGCATTATATTAAAAGAATTATAATATTTTAAAGTAATATATGAAGCTCAATATTTTAGTTTATTTTAATAGTTATTTCTGTTAGTTTGTGGCTTTATTAGAACACGAAATATATAAAAATTTAAAATTCTTAGTATAAATTTAATGAACATCTGTGACGACTAGCGGTGTTTTAAGAACTAAATTAGGAAAGCGCGGGAAAAAGTATAAGAGTTAGCACGCAACCTTATATACCTGGATGCTCCTAGGTTGAGATTAATTTGAAATTTTGAAATTCTAGAAACAAACGGTCAGTATTACATGTAAGCAAGGAATGTTTCGTGCCTTATGGTGTATCAATGTTATTCACGCTGAATAGTGTCTACAAAGAGGTATTGAATAATGGATTGTTGAGAGCAGTTCAGAGCGGGTTTCTGATTAAATTAAAGCACGATGTGGAATGGCAAATGCTAAGGAGTTCGACGGGCAAACTCCTTCAGGTGCTCTGAGATGAATCTGTAACGGTCCATGATTTAAAAGATGTATTTTTAGGCAAATGTGGGCGGTACGATGCACCTGAAAGTGGAGGATAGAGCGCTATCTCTGGATGATACTCAAGGAATGTTTTTGCTTTTGGGTGCTGGTTTTCTGTTAGGTGGCGCCTCACTAATCTCCGAAATGGTCGGAGGTTGCGTGAACTTCTGCAAGCAAAAGATCCGCAGATTGAGCACAACTAGTATAGAAAGCAACCCCAGATCGCACGACACCCTTACGCCAAGGGAGAAATTAAATTCCATTCAGTACAGCATACACTCGAGGCTGTGCAGTATTCCCGACAACAACAGTATCCAGAACACGCCGGACCTCGACGAAGAGATCGACCGGATCTTCAATCTTGACAACCTCTTCGGCGAGTGCAACAGCGAAGATACAACCACCACAGAAGAGATAGTTAGCGACAATTACTATTAAAGATGTAGTTCCAAGAAGTTTTTGTGCATTTTCTGTTAGTTTCTTCCTTTACTACAATAAATATTTTAGTTATATGTAGGTCAAACAATTAAAGATATTTTGTGTGGAATACACGTTAGATGGCAGTAAAGTATGGTCCTGATCTGAGTCATCTGTTGGTTATGGTTCGAATTGTTTTAAGCCATAGTTGTGGCAGAGTCGTGCCATGTTAAACACAAAAATTGTGCTTTACAAACTGTCGATCGTAAAATTGTTAATAATAAAAGTGAATTGAGTGTCGGCGTCGCTAAGTGCGATCGCGTGTTGCTCGTCGAAATGAACAAAACCATTGTGAAGAGTGAAGATCCGGATGATATTACCATGACACCACAAGAACTCCACATACTTTCAGAGCTTGACAGGCAAGGGATCTACATAAACAATGCTTAGCAGCAACAAATTGTTTGCTTTTATATACTTCTAGCCGATCCTATGGTCACCTACTACTTAACAATCCCGAGAACGCCAAACGCAAGGGCTTAGTTATAAAGGTAATTTCAATTAGAGCACGCTAACCAAACCCAATCGGATCTTCAAATTTACGTATTTTAAGGCTGTTAAGTACCTGCAACTTATGGTAATTCAGGCCAGGAGGCAACAGAAGGTTCAAATTGATAACGACAATAAAAGCACTAAAAAGATTAGCATAGATCCTAAAACATGGGTGAAACTAGGGCATTTTCATTTACTATTAGAAGAGCACAGGAAAGGTAACCAAACAATATGAAACGGTTTCAATATGCGTTTAATTTATCTCTATTCTAATTCCAGCACTATCCGCTTATCAAATGTTCTACACGGCACAAGCGGAGAATCACTGGATGGATTCCACGTTTTTATACGGCTTGGGTTTAGTTTATTACTTCTTCAATGCTTATCAATGGTGAGTTTTATAGCATGTTTACATTAGTCGAGATATGAACTATCCAAAGTAGATGGTACAAGTGAGGTGGCGCGGCGGCGGATTCTCATGGAACTATTTCCAAACAATGAATCTATGCCGCCATTTTTGTTTAACGATCCTGGACTTTAAAGAAAATACATGAAAATATCATATGCACGTTATACCAATTCGAATCAATTACTAGCGTAATGTTGCCTAGCCTTGCATCCGGACTAAATAAATACTTGCGATCACGTTAATACCATCAATCTGTCAATGTATAGGGGTTGGGCGAAATATTTCTTAAGGGTTTCATCTAAATCAATATATGTTCCTTACATACATCATTCATTTTGTGGTCGATCCCGATCCACTCCTGCGCTTTTTACCTACCTACAAACCATCAATAATAAATTACTTTCTTAATATTAAGTATTAATATTACATTTATATAATTATTTTTAATTATAATTGCGTTTCCCGTAGATGACAAACGGACGACCGCATCCTGTTTTTTTATCGATATAAAACTTTAACTAAAACGTAGGTTAAGAACTATCTATCAAATAAATAAACATAAAATTAATACGAATACGTAAAGGAATTAAGCAAAATCTTGTTGGTATTATGAGAAATGTTTATTCATGTTAATATTCAGACATTTGATAATTGATTTATTATAAAGTAATCAATATTTCGTTAAAGCGCCATGCATTGATTTTTAACTAATGTGGTATTAATGAAGATCCAATTGGTATTGTTATAACTGTTTTGTTTAAAATGTGGAACGTTTATTTGTTTTCTTTGTCCTTTCATGACATTTTTATCTGCTGGGCGATTATTAATTATTATTAATAATAACAATTATTTATTGATCCTTACTCTAAAATTATCCATTCTTTTTAAATGAAACGCTCAACAAGTTTCACATTAACCAACCAAGTTTTATGCATATATTACACCAATAGGCTATCAATTTTAGATAAATTCACAGCCGGTTTTATAACGAATTTCTATCTGTTTTTTCGAATAAAATTAATGTCGCAATTGTTTTATCAATTTTTAATGTATAAAATCCTTATAAAATCGTCTGTTAACCCTTTGATTTTATTATTATAAAGTTACTTATTTATCTGAATAATTATATTAATGTAACATTATATAATTATTAAAAATAAATAATAACAGTACGGTAAAATTAATAATAGATCTTTATGTCTATAAGTAAATGCATGCACTAAAATGCAGGAACGTCCAATACTGTGTGTTCTAGATTCAGTAATAAGGATGTAAGTGTTTATACTGCTCTTAGAAGTCTGTAATATTTTTGTCCGAACGATCTGTATTTCCACGTAATTATGAAATACGATGAGTAAATGTGGGAAGGAAGGACCCAAACATTATTTCTGTTTCGTCATTTTCAAAGCAAATTGTTTTGGATGTTTTTAATAATCGATATAGAAATCGCCGCAAGAAAGCAATGAGAAGGAAATGGTTAATAAGGATGTTGCTTCGTGCATGTTTCTTTTCATTTCAATTCAGTCTTATTATTTTCTTGTTGCACCGTGCGTACACTGTATGCATAATACATAACATTTGTTACGCAATGCCTTGGCTATCTGCCACCTCCTGTTCTACTATTATGATGCTACGAGCTATAAACAGGTTGTACAAAAACGTGTTCAATGTTACAAATGTTGCAATTGGAATAATTCGCATCTAATGTGGTATACTGTTTATTTAGCACCCATTTATTAAATATGCAAAATACTGTTATAATCCGAGCTATTAAAATTGTAAAATGAAACGAAAAAGTTTCAAACAAATACAAGTTTCTTGACCACGGTATGGGTATAGATTAAATGTATGATCAATAAGATATCTCCTGGGTTTGTTATAAATACACCTAATAGGAATAAGGATTGAAATCATTAGAGTTATTATATCCTTCAACATTCGTCATTGTTTGTTTACCGCATCCTTGATTGCCTGGAAAGTACTTGTATAAACAACGCTGATATGGTATGCAATTCAACACTCATGTAATTATGCACTACGAGGAAAATGTGGACGACTGTTATATCGATATTCTTGGAGTTCGTTTTCAGGATAAACTGATGAAGTAACTATAGTTATTACTTGAATATACAATAATTCCGGGCTTTCGTTGGAAGCGGAAGGTGGTGCTCCCCACGAAGGGCTCTCCGAATCAAAACGCAATTCGAAAAATGCCCCCCTTTGAAAAGGGCCGCCCTTTCTAGAATGAATCAGGCAGCTGAAGCAGATGTGCCCTTTTTTACCCCTTTCTCTCATATATATTTTTTTTATTTGCCGCGCCGACCAACTGTTTAAATTTAGGGAGAAAATCGATCGCGTTCTATGTATGGCACGTACATATCAAACACATATATCTATATATATAAATGTCTGTCTACAAAATGTTTCCCATCCCATCGCATCGATTGCATTTGAAAATGTCGATGACCTCGCCGTTGTATTCATTCTATGCAATCGATGATTTTTCTGAGGCAAAGGTCGCCGTTGATAAGGTTTTCCAACCGATGTAATTCGGATCGTCTGGTCCACCGGATAGGATTCGCACTGACAGGTCGTTTACCTGATGATGGTCACTACCTGGCCAATGCACTTCTGCGATATTCAAGGTCGCCTAGACAAGTTCCCAGATTTACACATGAAAGGAATAATAATTTAATACAAAAATAATAATAAAAATAAATAGAGAACACAAAGTAAACAAAGAGTAGCGTTATAAGAAATAATAACAAACATAATGGACGCGAAGAGCTTAGAATATAGCAAACGGCGTCTGTCAATCGAAATGTAAATATTATTATTTTCGATGATCTCAATACATTAATTTAACATAATATACATAAGATAATGAATATACAGCAACTACTGAGTGGTCTAATGTCATGATTATTCTTTTTACAATTTAAATTTTCATCTAGGTCGATAATAAAACTTCCATACTTCTATTAAAACACTACAATTTTGTCTAACAGTAAACTTAATTAATTCATTCCAAACAATATTTTATGTTCAATTAAGCTAATGGAGAAATATTCTACAAATATGAATCATCTAATACAGTAACATAACTGAAAGACAATTTTCTCAGAAACTTTTTTATATTAATTTAATACATTTATATTAAATCTTGGATATGAAAAGAAAACTTGAGAGTATTACTAACAAAAACGATATTTAAGAAGATCCACTTCTAAACTAGTTTTTTTTCCTTCAATAATTATAGTAATATTTCTTCTCGGTATAAAAAAAAACTAAATACTAATAATATACGGCCGAAATCTCTGTTAATTATAGAGGGTCAAAGATAAGTTCCATCCTGAGATTTAATCCAAATTGGCGAATTATAGAAGTCTTCTTAAAAAAAATAATTTAAGTAGATTGTTAATTCCAATAACATACAATTTATATCATACTCTTTCTTGTCTGCGTGAACTGTACTAATTTTATGAACCTTTATGTTCTATTGCTTCGATCGTATCATTTCCTCGAACACTCACATTACCAGGGACATATTAATTGCTTCATATATCGCTCATAGAATCGTATTCAATGTTATTTTCAGCTTTGTTTCCTTCTATATTTAGCAACTGCTTCATTAATTCCATTGTTTACGCTCTTTTTTTTTAAAGAAAAATAATGTATATTCCAATTAAAAAATGCAAATCTGATTACGAAACATGGTTTATTATCTATGGATTCGTTGAGTTTTTTTTTAACTTGCAATGGATTGATACTAAAATTGCAGTGTGTATTATTACAGACACATTATGTACATTACGCTTGTTGAATAGGGTTGAATGATCTAAATCGTTGATAACCTAAAGGTCGTCGTAACGTTCTTAATGTACTATTGCTGTGGGATCAATAAATATTGTTATTACTATAACTGGAAAAATCTGAATAATAGTAATACTATCTTTATTTCAGAAGAGAGAAACATATCTTTGAAATGCAACTTCACATAAGAGAAAAAGCACATATTGACACGTACTCACATACATACACACAACACAAATCAATATAAATTTTAATTAATATTATGTAACTATGATTTCTTTTTCTTTACACGATGATAAGTTGAGCATATTGAGCCAGTCGTGATGTGAAATGTAAGGGTTAATTCACACCAGTATAGTATTTGCATCAGCAATCAGTTCCACTCGCTCGAAATACTATCCTTGCGTAGAATGAATGACCTTGGGTAGCTCACTTATGCTTCTGGTTTAAGTTACTATCCTCGTGTAAAGTGTCCTTTCCTTTATGATTTTTGACACACACAAACATACACACACTCGGCATGCGATAATTGAAGGTTTGAACTCGCGCCTGTGCTGATGCACATACTTCAGACCTTCCCCTATGTAGATGGATGTTAAGTTTAAGATTCAACTGATTAACAAACATGTTTGGTTTGTACGAAAGTATAATTATGATTGAATGGTACAAAGCATTATTTTATACTATCGATTTGTGTGATTGTAATTGAGTAAAATTTATGAGTTTCACCGAATTTATTGCCAGCAATTCGTCGTGTATTATTCATCTTTTCATAGTATAAAATTGGAAAGGTATAGTTCATTGCTAGCAACAAATTCGGTAAAAATTAATAAAATAATCTTATAAAAAAATATGTACAGTACAATTATTATATATTGGTGTTAAATTAGGTGTTAAACATACTTATTTGTACGTATATATATTAATATTTTATTTTGTACATTTGAACATGTTATGCAAGGCATAACATGATGGACCTATGCGACAGAAATATATTTTAATAACTATAAAATATATATACATATAAGGAACGTTATGTTGATGTTATTGTTTGGTTGTACGTTATGAAATGTTATATCAAATATAACATTGGAGCAATTCGGCAGATCTAGGATTTAATTAAAAAAAATATAGAATTGGCAGATTTTGCTGCAATCAATTAATAATTA